GCAGGCCCGACTCTGGCAGAGGCGGCGGGCGCGGATGGTCGCGGCGTGTCAGCCGTGCCGGCGCCGGCGGCAGCGCGGCCAGATCGGGGCGCCCTTCTCGGAGATTTTCGCGGCCACGGAGGGCGCGCGCGGGCTGCGGAGGAACGACTTCACCTGGCATCAGAACAGATCGATGCCCATCGATTTTGCCGAGCCCTCGCGCCAGTGGTGATCAAGGCCGCCGCCAAGAATGCTCGGCGTTCAGTCGCGCCGGAGAGCGCGGCGTTCAACGGGGCTCGCATCGCGGCGAAGTCGGGCGCGGCGACCGCCGTGGAGCTCACGGGCCAGTCCTTTGTTGCAGGGGCACGTCGTATCCGTCTGGCACGCTGTCTGGATCTTTCGGATCTCGGAGTGACGCGCTGTTCCAGGGGTGGAGAAGCTCGGCCCCCCCCCTCCCCTTCTCCACCTGTGGCTGACGTTTGGTGGGCCATTGCAGCGGCGCGGAGACAGCGCTGGCGCAATGAATGCAGGCAGTATCCATAGTTACTTAGGCATGATATACAATAACCCCCCAGTGGCGAACGAAACCCTGGAAACCCCCAGATCGAGGATGGCTGGGGCTCCTGCGCTCGCGAATGGCCGGTGATGAAAATGTTCCATGATGCCAGCGGCGCGGGGATAGTGGTGGAGGCCCTGGGGCCCTTTGTTCTGCTGAGGGCCAAGATGATGAAGGGCGCCCCATTAAAGATCCACTGGGGGCGCCTTGTCCAGTCACCCAGACAGCCTCGACGCAGACCCCGTGCAGTGAGCCCGACGGCGGGGGGATTGGGGGTGGGGCAGAGCCCCCAATGTAAGTGAGCCAGGGCGCCAGTGTTTGCAACCGCTCCAGCCTTGTGCTGGGCCACTACTCGATGCAGATGATCCTGCGCGTGTAGGTGGGGCCCCTCCCACATCTCTTCCTCGCCCCTCCTCAGACTTGCCATTTGGGCCGTCTGGCCGTCCTCGCCTCGCCCGGCAATCCCCCCTCGACGGTGAGATCGCCCGACTGATCCGTGGCGGCCGCGGCCGCAGTCCCAGGAGTGCCAACAGCGGGGGCGGCCCTGGGTGCCCGTGAGGTTGTGCCTTCTCGGGCCCGTGTCCTCGCTCTCAAGAACAGTGGGCTCTTTCGGCCGTGGCGCCGCGTTTCTCTCCTGTTCCCTCTTCTGCAAATGCGTTTCTCTGGCCGCCGAAGAACTGTCGAGGTTGCGGCGCTGCCTGGCCTCGGGGATGCATCCGAGCCGGGCGGGTCGAGGCCGCGCGGGCCCCCTGCGCCGTATGCGTGCGCGCCACTTGCTCAGCGCACTCTTGTCGCTCTTGCTGATTGTTGTGCTCTTTTTCTTCGCTGGCAGGAAGTTTGGCTCGCGCGCCGGCAGAGGTCCGCCGCCGCCTCTCCAGTGCAAGTTCGCGGCAGGACAGGGGGGGGTCTGGGGGCGTCAGCTGGCCGCCCCTGGCCGGGCCTATCCTGGGCCCAGGACTCCCCGGGCCTGGTCGCGGAGGCGCCCGCGCTGATTTGGGGTCCAGGGCGGGCCCTGCCAGGACTTGCGAGGTGGCCTCCCGACGCCCCCCGATCCGAGGGGGAAGGCGTGGGCGCCCCGCCATTCTTCGCCCCTCCCGGACGTTTTCCGACGTGGTCCTTTCAACCCGCGGCCTCAGAGAGGTCCGACCCCTCTCCCGCGTCGGGCGGCCCGGGGGCTTGGCGACGAGCCGAGGAGGTCCGAATCGAAGTCGAATGCCATTCGAGGAAGGCGACGCCGAGGGGGCCGAAATCGAGGAGGCCGATATTGAGGCCAAAGTCGACGACCCAAATCTCGCTCTCCTGGCCGGACAGGGCCAGGGGGGGATATTTGGGTTCTGCGTCTCCTGCCCCTTGCGCCGCTCTCTCGACGTTTTGTCCGAGGCCGCCGCCCGCGCGCCTGCAGTTCTAGCGCTTTTGGAGTTCCCCCGCCAGCCCGCGGGGGCAGGGGGCTGGCGTGCTCGAGGAGACGTGGTTGGAGGCCCAGTTGCGAGGTGATGGGCGTCTTGCGCGGCCGCGGCTTGGTCTGCGCCTGCCGCGGGCGACGGGGCCGAGCGTCAAGGCGCCGCTCTGCCCTGCGCAGCCGGGCCTTATTCGATGCCCAGGCCGCCGGCCACGCCGGGGCGGAGGAGTTGGAGCGCCCGGGGCTGCTTCTCTGCGCCCCGCCGGGGAGGCCGCCCCCGTGGGCGAGCGGGGCAGGCCCCGGGTTGACGACGCCGTGCGCCGCCCTGCCGACGTCTACCTGCCGCGGTGGCGCAGCCGCAAGGCGGCCCCCTGCAGCTCCTGCCGCCGCGCCCAGGGCGCGCGCCGAACTCGCGGGGGCGTCGGCCGCTCCGTCCGGCGCCGCGACGGAGCGGAGCGAAGTTTTCCAGGGCAGCGCCAGGGCGTCGCGCGGGCGCGGCACGGGGCTTCACTTTCCCCCGCGGTGGTGCAGACCCACGGCAGCGGGCGGGGCTGCGAGGCGCGCGGGGCTTTCCGGGTCCTGGCCAAACGGGTGGCTGACGCCACGGGGGAAGACGCCGCCCTTGAGGCGGGCCAGCGCGCCCGGCGACTTCCCTTGCGCTGGGAAAAGGCGCGGGCAGCGTCTCAGCGCCCGCCGCGCCGCCCCAACCCAGCCCGAAGGCCTCAATCTGCCCTCTATTTCTAGTTGGGGGGTCGGGGAACATGGGGAAAAAAAAAACACGTGAAGCCCGTGCCCCCCCCCCAACCCGAAATTCGGGTCTTCGGGTTGGGTTGGTGTGGCCTGGTAGGTAGTCAGTCCTGCCTCCTGTTTCCGCCCGACCCCCCTTCCGCCCGCCCGACCGCCCGCCCCGCTGGCCCTGGCCTCCTGCCTGCGCGTTCGTCGTCGTCTGCCTGCCCCCCCGCTTCTCATTCGCCGGGCAGCGCAGCCTGCCCGGGAATAGCGCGGAGTTTCTAATGTTTCTCCGCTGGTCTTGCGCCTGCGCGCACACACGCAATATCAGGGAAGCCGTGGGCACGCTGCCTGTTTTGGCTGCCCGTCCCGCCGCGGTGGGCCGCACCGCGGCGAGAGCCACTGGCGGCGATGGGCCCCGCGTCGCGGCCATGCTGGAGGCCAGGGGCTAGTTCTTTGTCCCTCGATACGTGCGGCCACCAACGCCTGGAAATGCCGAGTTCATTATCAAACTGGCGCTCGTTGCTCAGTTGATTTCCCTTCGCGTTTCAGCGCAGACATCCGGCGTTCCAATGTTTGGATGCGTGGGCCCCGCGAGGTCTGGACCACTTCCCCACGGCTGTCTTTTCATCCCGAGCTTTTAGACCGTCGTGGGGCCCTTGAAAAGGCCGCCCAAACTGGCAGTTCCAATGTTTTCGGGACGTCGGATTTGCAGTCGAGGGCGGCGCAGTGGTCGGATGCACGTAGGAGTGACCCTTCGCCACGGTGATTTTTGGTGCGGGCTCATTGGTGTCCCCCCGGTCGCTGAAGGGGATGCGATCGTAGCGTCTTGCGCGCTTGGGTTGCCCCCCCCCCCGCGCCCCTCCCCCCTCGAATCCTCGCACCAAAGGTCACTCTTGCCCAGGGTCACTTGTACGTGCAGCCGACAGGAGCCGTTCGATGGGAGCGAATTGCCATTTTCCCAACGGTCGGCGACGACGACGGCGCGCTGCCTCTTGCCTTTCGCCGCGCGAGGAAGAGGAGGAAAAATATGAGGAGGAGGAGGATGAAGAGGAGGAGGAAAAGGAGGAAGAGGAGGAGGATAAGGAGAAATAGTAATAATAATACTATAATTAATGATAAAGCAATAATACAATGTAAGGGGAATAGTGATACCAACGACTAGTAATATTAAGAAGAGTAATAATAACAATCCTATAATTAAAAAGACCACGCATACTAATAATAAGGCTACTATACATAATGATAAGAAAAACATAATTAGTAACGGCAATCATTATAAGCAGAACACCGATCATAAGAACAATAATGATGATATTACTCATGTTATTAATAATAAGGCTAATCATCGCAAAAAGAATACGAACAATAATAACCAGACTGCGAATACGACGATTGCTCATACTAGACCCAATACTAATACTAATCCGAATGATAATAATACTATTACGCTTAATAATCGTACGACTAATATTAATAACAATAATAATATGACTAATCGTAATACTAAACTAATGCGAATACAAATAATGCGAATGCTAGAATAGTGTTGCTAACCATAATCATGATACTACTACTAATAATGATGATGGTAATACCAATAATACCAATACTAATACTACTAATACTAACGATATGAAGTCCATTAATACTACTATTTATAGTATTAATAATAATAATAGTAATAATCATAACAATAACACATAATACTATTCATATTAATAATACTAATAATACTAATACTGATACGAATACTATTACTACTACTACTTCTAATAATAAATAACACTACTACTATTAATAAAACTAATACTATTAATAATATTACTCATACTACCACTAGTAATAATAGTAATAGTAATAATAATAATACTAGTAATACTAATAATGTTAATAATATTAATAATACTAATAATACTAATAATACTACTACTACTAATAATATTAATACTAATAATACTAGTAGTAATATCAATAGTAATAGTAATAGTATCACGAATGAACATACGAATAGCGATAATAAGAATGATACTATTACAAATAAGCAACATAACTAAACAGTACTACGAATAATGCTAATACTACTATGAGGAGGAGGAGGAGGAGGAGGAGGAGGAGGAGGAGGAGGAGGAGGAGGAGGAGGAGGAGGAGGAGGAGGAGGAGAGGAGGAGGGAGTGGAGGAGGAGGAAGAGAGGAGGAGGGGAGGAGGAGGAGGGGAGGAGGAGGAGGAGGAGGAGCAGGAGGAGGAGGAGGAGGAGGAGGAGGAGGAGGAGGAGGAGAAGGAGGAGGAGGAGGAGGAGTAGGAGGACGCCTCCGCCGCGCGCCCACCGCCCAGAGGACGGGCAAGTGCGTCTGCAAGGCGTGGTGGCAGGACTCGCGGGCCGTCGGCGAGCCGCGCTTTTTCGGGGACTGGTGGCACGTCGGCTGCTGAGAGCAAGGAGGAGGAGGAGGAGGAGGAGGAGGAGGAGGAGGAGGAGGAGGAGGAGGAGGAGGAGGATGCAAGGGGAGGCGCATGGACCCTCAATCTCCCATGCACCGCCGATCTGGGGCCCGACAGCCCCGCGCGCCCAGGGACGTGCGACTTCGCCACTGGGGTCCCATCGCCGATCGGTCGCGATGTATCGCCGATGCCAGGTCCCATTCTAAGGTTGCCTTTCACCGCAATTGGGGGAGTTGTGTTCCCTACCCACCTGGGGGACCCGTCGGTTTCGACACCCCTCTCGAGAGGTCGTTGACTGGTGCGGTTTCGGGTGGCGCACAAGCAGACCCCCCAGGTAGTCCCGGCTGGCCTCAGCAGGCCCTCCGAGTAAGCTGGGGCGGTCTCAGCACCCTGGCGCCGCCTCCAGCGGCACCCCTTGGGCGTTCCGCGCCCCAGGGTCGGGGTATTCAGACCACCTTGGGCTTGTCGGGCGGCCTGTGACGGCCAGCGGGGACTAACTGTGTGGGCTGTTTGTGCGCAGTCCCCGACACCTCACCAATCGACGACCTCTGGAGAGGTCGTCGATACGATAGGTCCACCCAGGGGGGTAAGGCCCACGGCTCCCCCAAGATGCGGCCAGCCAGCGGGTGCATCTGGAGGTTTCAGGATGTTTCTGAGGGCGACAGGATCTACCCGAAGGAGAAGAGTCGGACCAGATCTTTGACAACTTATGCCATACCGTTCCGTTCTTTGTTTCGTGAGTGCTCTTCTGCTGCGTCCACTATCATCATATATGGATAGATACACGCAGCTCCACCGCCCCTGGCCAAGTACATCGTGCACTAGGCCTGGGATGGGGCTGGGCAGGGGCGGTGGATGCGTACTACAGACTCGCTGGTATTTCGAGACCTCGACCGTACAGGAAAACTGGCATGTGGAAGGTTTTTGGCCATTTTCGACCGTGGGGGCCCTCGCTGGACCCCAGGGCTGTTAAAGTAACGACTCTGGTCTCACTCGGTGTTGGGTCTAAGTCACTTTGGTGTTGTGTGGTGTCTCAGTCTCTATTGGGTCTTGCTAGCGCGTTTCACGGGCGCTTGCCTTGGGAACATTCGGCGGCGCGTTTCAAACCGGGGGATGGCCCCCCCCCCAACACTCGGCGATCAATCAAAACCGGGGGGTCTCCCCTCCCCCCCAAACCCCCCCCTCCCGACCCCCCCCCTCGAGGGGGGGGCCGGGTTGAACCCCCCCCCCATTCCCAGCGGGGGGGGGTTTCAACCCACCCCCCCCCTCCTCGGCGCCGGCGCCGGCGGCCGCCAGCAGCGCCCACGGCGGGGACGCAGCGACGATGACCAGAGGCAGCTCATGGGGGGCGGGGGGTTCCCCCCCCCCTCCCCTCGCGCCGGCGCCGGCGCTGGCGCTGGCCAGCAGCGCCGGCGCTGGCGCCGGCGACGGCGGGGACGTACCGACGATTACCACCACTACCACCACCACCACTACCACCACCACCACCACCACCGCCTCAACCCACCACCACCACCACCAACAGCACCACACAACCACCACCACCACCACAGCCCCCACCACCACCACGACCGTCACCACAACTCACCATCACCACCACCACAAAAAACCAACCACCACTACCACCACCACAATCTACCACGCCACCACCACCACCGCCACAACCACTACCAGCAGCACAACCCACCGCCACCACCACAAACCGCACCACCACCGCCGCCACCACCACCACCACAACGACAAACGCGCACAAACCACCGCCACCGCCGCAAACCACCACCACCACAATAAATAGCCACCACACCAACACAACCACCACCACCACAACTCACCATCACCACCACCACCACCACCCACCACACCATCACCAAACCACCACTACCTCCACCACCCACCGCCACAACAACCACCACCACAACACACCACCACACCAACACCACCACAATCACCACCACCGCTACCACCACCACCACTATTATCTCAACCCACTAGCATTATCACCGTCGTCCTCGTCGACGCTCCCCGCCACCGCCGCTCGCCGCCGCAGGCGCCGGCCGGCGCCGGCCCAGAAATGGAAATCGTCGTCCCCGCCGCCGTCGCCAGCCGCCGCCGACGCAAGCGCCGGCCCGAGGAGAGGGGAAGCAGGGGGGGGAAACCCCAACCCCCCCCCGTCACGGGAGAGGAGGGGGGGGGCGTTTGCACCTCCCCCCCTTCCGTCACGGGAGGGGGCGGGGGGATTTCGAACCGCCCCCCCTCCATCCAGGGGGGGGGGGGTCCGGTTCCCCCCCCCTCCGAGCGACCACAGAACGCGTTTTTTTTTTTTTTTTTTTTTTTTTTTTTTTTTTTTTTTTTTTTTTTTTTTTTTTTGTTTTGTTTTTTTGTTTTTTTTTTGGGGGGGGGGGTATGGCGGGGTGGAGGTTGCGATGGATGATCATGATAAGGCAACGAACGTCTACACATGCAGGCGGCAAGAGAGGATGAGGAGGAGTAGTTAGGAGGAGGGGGAGGAGGAGGAAGAGGAGGAGGGGGAGGAGGAGGAGGAGGAGGAGGAGGAGGAGGAGGAGGAGGAGGAGAGGAGGAGGAGGAGGAGGAGGAGGAGCAGGAGGAGGAGGAGGAGGAGGAAGAGGAGCTGGTGGAGGAGGAGGAGGAGTCGGAGGAGCAGGAGCAGGAACAGGAGCAGGAGCAGGAGCAGCAGGAGGAGCACGAGACAAGAGAGGATGAGAAATAACTCGGAGGAGGAGGAGGAGGAGGAGGAGGAGGAGGAGGAGGAGGAGGAGAGGAGGAGGAGGAGAGGAGGAGGAGGAGGAGGAGGAGTCAAGGAGGAGCAGGAGGAGGCGGAGGAGGCGGAGGAGGAGGAGGAGGAGGAGGAGGAGGAGACAAATGATCAACGATGCTGAGCTATTCAGAAGTCATTGCCAGTATTTGTTGTTGTTGTTTTCGCTGGCGTATTGAGGACCTTGTTGGCGTCGGATGCTCCACGGGCCTGCCATGCACAAGAGAGAGAGAGAGAGAGAGAGTGCCCCGCTTGGAGCAGGATCTCCCCGGCATCCCGTTTTGGACGTCGCCACTTTATCCACCCATTTTCTGTATGTATGTATGTATGTATGTATGTATGTATATATGTATATGTATATATAAAAATATTCATATATATGTATGTGTATATATATATATATGTGTGTTTCTGTTGTTTTGAAAAGGGGGGTTGATTAACGTTCTGACAGAGCCTGCTCAATCCCGCCCGCCTCCATCCTCCTCCCTCTCCTCCAGTTCCTCTTCCTCCACCCCCCCTCCCACCCGTGCCGACAGCACGTGCCCGACCCCCCAACGGATCCGACGGAAGGGGGGGGCGATTATTGGCCCGTGCAGAGTACACATGGGGCGCTCCAAAAAGGGGCCTTGCCTTCGGGGACCGAAGGAGTGGCCATCTCCTCCGTGGCGGAGGGCGGCGGAAGGTTGGCGGCAGGCGGCGGAAGTAGAACGGTGGCGGCTCCGCTGGCGGAAGCTCGGTGGAAGCTCGGCGGAACCCAGCGGAAGCAACAGGGGTGCTCGAGGGCGGGCCCCATGTGGGCGGTGGACCAACGCTTCCCGCCCCCGCTGCCTCAGCGCTCCCTTCAGTCCCCAGCTAGTTCATGCCTGAATTACGCTGCGCCGGGATATCGGTTGTTTTTGATTGGGCCCGCCGCAGGACATCCAGTTTGATAATTCGAGGGTGTAACGTTCGTAAAAAGGAAGCAACAGTCGACCTCTCAAAAGATGATCACGTTATGGGGTTCAGGGTTTCTGGAATCTGCCACATGTTGCACACATTTATTATTTTGGCGTTTCGTGGCGAAAGTCTCAAGTCATAGCCCAGTCTTGAAAAGGAAGCCTCATCCATCTTTGCTCTTCTGGTCCGGTGTGTTGATGAAGCATGCAGTGGCAGGCTTTTTGATGCGGAGGTGCCCTCGATTCTCGTAGCTTTCGGCGCGGCGTTAAGGTAATAGCCGCATGTCACATGTTGAGCATGCGCGTCGTCTTCTACTGCTGGAACTTTCAGCTGTTCACAAAGCAAGTGTGCGCTGCGCCCTGTTAACCCTTTTGAAAACTCGTCGCGTTATATCTTCACTGGTGTTGGAATCAAGGCGAGTCCATTCTTTTGCAAGCGAGCCGCCCTCCATCGTTGCAGGCTGATGCACTGATGCGCGCAGCGCCAGGGCGAGAGCCACATTTTGACAAGCACCCGTCCTCCATCCGTGGAGCTGTCGGACAGTTGAATGTTAAGGACCATCAGCGGGAAGCCTGAGGCGAACACGCCCGGCCCGCCCGGCCGACCCGTGGTCCGACGGGAGGGGGACGAAACAGAGTGAGAGGAGGTGCAGCATCGGGAGGCGGGACGCGGGGGGTGGGGGAGGGGGGGCGCGCGTGGTTCTCCTATGCCGCCTGCCGCGCAGAGGACTCCGACTCCCGCTACTGCGAGCCCGTTGCTGGCGACTACGCGAACCACCTCGAGAGCCTCAGGAACTACCTGTGGTTCCAGGCCAGCTTTCGGTAACAGATCATGGGAGCCTGGTATAACCTCGTAATCCCGTCTGTAGAGTGCACTAGCGTCGAGTGGCGTCTGGTAATCGATGAGACAGCGCCGATTTAGGGTCAATTAGCGTTGATCAGCGTCGATTTGGCATCGATTTGCGTCGATGTGCTTCGCTTCGCAAGAGCCAGCAAGATGATATGGGAGGCTCCCGCGAGGTGCCGCTGCGGCCTCTCGTGCATGTGGCTTGTGGGCCGTGGGGTTGCGCCGGCTGCCCAGGGGCAGTCCCGGCCTGCATCGACCGGCCCCACGATCACTGCGGGACTCTTTCAGCTGAGACAGCAGGGGCGGCCCAACCGACCTCTAGCAAACCATCTCCTTCCGTGACGTCCTCCTAGCTTCTCCCCAGGACGTATGTACGCGGCCGGAGGGGAGCTCGAACGGCGAGGGTGACGTCACGTAAGGGGATGGCTTGCCAGGGGTCGGTTGGGCCGCGCCCGAAGACAGCCGACGTGGTGTTTTTTGTTCGCAAGGTGGCTCGACAGAGGTCTGATCGTCGAATTCCGGGTCAATTGCTTCCCCCCCTGATCTGGCGCTTCCGTCACTTTCCCCCTCACCCTGGCGCGCCCCGCGCCAGAGTGGGGGCCAGCACGGCTCCCACGAGCGCCGCGCGGGCTTTCGAGAGTTGATGCCTTTCCTCCTCGATGTCTGGTCGATGCCCCCCTCGGGGTGGGGCGGTGTGTGGGGGGGGGGGGGGGCAGCCTGCTGCACTGCCGTGGTGCCCACGCGGGGCCCGCCGGAGCAGACGGAGGTCGGAGAACCCTCGCAGCATCGCCGATGCATGGGCGATGCGGCGCCGCCTGGAGCCCGGTTCTCTCCACTCCGGCGTCGTCGATGCATCGGCGATGCGGCGCGGCTTGTAGCCCGATTGTTCTGATGGGCCTGTGGAGGAGGACGAGGAGGAGGAGGAGCAGGAGGAGGAGGAAGAGGCGGAGGAGGAGGAGGAGGAGGAGGAGGAGGAGGAGGAGGAGGAGGAGGAGGAGGTCCCCCTCCCCCTCCAACTTTGGTGGTGGTGATGGAAAACAGGCCCATCATGCTCCCCGCCGCACCGTCGCCGATGCATCGGGCGCTGCTGCGCGGTGCTGCGGCCCAGGCTCGGGCGGCCCGGGCGGCCCGGGCGGCCACTGGTGCGCGCGCAGCGGGTGTTTCGCGGCCCCGCCGCCCAGGGCGCACTTTTCTCCTCGGCACACACGTGGCCTTCTCCGGGCGGCCCGAGGCGCTGGGCACAGACGTGTGTGAATCTTTGCAGCAGTTTGGCTGCCCCTTCCCCCCCTTGCTGCCCCCCCTCTTTGCCCCCCTCCACCCTTTTGCTGTGGGCCCTCGCCGGGCGCCGTGGCTGTCAGAAACGGCTCGGGGTGCGCGTCGACGAGATGTTTCCATCCAGTATCTCCAAGTCTTGCTGCCTCGGCAGTTTATGTCTGTATGATTCTTACCATTATCTTACCGTTTCATTGCAGCAGGTTTGCTGCCTCCCTTTGCTGCCCCCTCTGTGCTTGGCGTGCTCCGCGCGCCAGGGAGGGGGGTCAGCGCACATCCAAGAAATCCCCGCGGAGCGGCAACAGTTTATGTTTATGTAGTTTTTCTTCTACCTGTGCTGTGCGCCCTCGCCGGGCGCTGTGGCCGTCAGAAACGGCTCGTGGTGCGTGTCGACAAGATGCTTCCATCGAATACCTCCAAGTCTTGTGACCTCAGCAGAAACAGTGGATCCCGTCAGTCTTGTAGGGCGAAGGTGGCATGGCGCGCTTCCACTTCCAACCCCCTTCTTCCACTTCGGGGAGGGTTTTAACCTTTCTCTACCCACTCCCTGGGACTGGCCGGGGGCATCGCGGGTCGTTAGAGCCGCCCTTGCGGCAAGGGTCGGGACTCGTGCGGACCCCGTATGGAGGCTCCGCCCACCCCATGTCCCAGAGGCAACACGAAGGGGGGATAGGCTTACGGGGGGATGCACCGACCCCCAATGGCCTATTGATCGCCGATAGGGGCCTGGTAGCCCACCCCGCCCAGGAACGTGCGGCTTCGCTATCGGAGGCCCATCGCCGATCTATCGGTGATGTATCGCCGGTTCCGGCTCCATGGTCCTCCCCTGGGAACCTGGCCCCCCCTTAAACGTTCCCACGCTCAATCTAGGCCGTGGCCCCCGAGATCGGACCGCGCGGGGCGTCCTTCGCCGTTGCGTTCTTCGCACGCGTGTGGGAGCTGCTGCTCGAGGGAGGCGCGCAGGGGATCTCTTCGTGGGCCTCCGGCGCGGGCTGTGCCCTTCTCTGCAGCCTGCAGTCCTTCCTCGGCAGGCGGCGGGCATTGTTGGCCAATCCGGCATGCCCAGGCGCCCACCATCATGATTCTCATGACGTGGGCTCACGCAGGTCCCGACACTTTCGTGGGGCAGCCTGGCCGTCCCAGGCAGTTGTCGTGTGCTTGTTTGTGCTGCCCGAAACGGGCCCAAGCAGGCCCGTATAGAGAGAGGAGGAGGGGCTGCCTCAAGTTTTTTTCCCGTGCCGACGGCGGTCTGTGAGAGTGTCCAGCATGCTGCTGCTTACGCCAGCGCGCGTGCATCGTCCGAGTGAGCGTTTTTCGAGCTGTGAGCGCGCTCAGCTTGACAGCCTGCGGTCAGCGTGTGGGAACGCTTTCTGTTACTATCTTCTAAGATTTTTGGTGCATGTTCTCAGGATTTTGAATTTTTCGTCCAAAATCCGCCTGTAGGGGGACAGGCCCGACCTAGGCCTGCGGTCAGCGCGGGCCCCCTTGTTGGGAAACGTCTCTCCGACGACCGTCTGTGCTCTACCCCTTGGCGTCCTTCGGCGGCGCGCCCAGGGGGGCAGTGTGCGGAGAGGGCCGGCCTTCTCAGCAGGCGGCGGGGCTTCTCAGAAGCCCGCCTTTCTCCTGAGAACCTGCCTGTGTTCTCGGAGAAGGCTTAAGTCGGGCCTGAGACCATGGGGACGATTTTTTGAAGATTTTTGGATTACTTTTGAGTATTTTTGGACTATCTTTTATTTTTCGTCCAAAACCCGCCCGTAGGGGAACAGCTCATGAGGCGCGAGGGCTCCTCAGAAGCCCCGCCCCCCATCACATCCTCCCTGGGCTCACCGCCGAGTCTTGTGTGCCCGCAGCCCTGGTGCGGTCGTCCGGCAACCCGGACGCGCTGTGCGTTCGGCCTCGCGGCTGACCAGGACAGTGCCGGTCTGTGCTCCGCAGCCGGGTTCGATCCGTCGCACGGCTGGCGTCCAAGAGACCCACAGGAGAGCCGGCGCGGTCGCATGATGGTCTCTCAGACGAGCCGCTCTCTGCGGCGCCCACCCCGTCGTGACCACACTGAGAGGGCTTCCCCGATTGCTGCGCTTTGGTACGAAGCCCACGGAAGCTTCCGCTCGTCTTGCACTGAACGCATAGCGCTCAATGACGCGCACCGCGCCCAGCGCCGAGTAGCGCTCAAATAGCGTCCAATTGCGTCCAGTACCGCCAAGTGAGCGAGATGCGTTGCGTCCATTTTGCGCGCTGCTGGACGCGCAATATTGGGTACCATGGAGACAACATCTTCCGTGGGTTGCTTTCTAGCTGTGCCGGGCCGCCGTTTGCTTTCAGGGGGCGAGCTCAGCGGTGTGTTGACGATTTCGTGGGCCGTTTTCGTTTTTGGTTTCGCTTTGCAGCAAAGGCAGGACGAAAACGGAAGGAGGGAAGACGAGAACAGCACGAAATCGAAAGACATTGCTGAGCTCGAGCCCACTCTGCTTTTGCCATGCCCTGAGCGTACTCCGCCTCCTCTTGACTCCGCGCCCCCGCCCTCGTCTCCTGTTGTGCCTAACAAGGCCCTGTCGTGCCCCTCGGCTGCCTCCGATCGCGGCGTGGATCTGATCGCCGCTGCGCCTGGTAAAAAGTTTGCTCTCGCCCGTGCACCCGCCCCGCGTGCTCCACGCCCAGAGGCTCTGCCCTCGGAGCCGCGTCCGGGCGCTCCGATCCGGCCACCTCGCAGCGCAGCGCGCCCTCTCCGCAGGCCTCGCCCGCGGCCCGCGTCCTCGCCCCGTGCTCCGCTCCTGCCGAGCCATCGGGAAGTCTTGCTGCGCGCCGTCTTCAGCTGGGGAGGCAGCTTGCGCTTGCTTCCGGCTCCGCTCGTTTGGCGTGTTGGGTGTGGGCTTACCCGTGGTTCGGAAAATGGTCTGAACGCCAGATGGCAACACAAACGCGGCACAACAAACTTACAAGACAAGACAGTATGACATGGTTCAGTTTGCGAACTGCCTACCCTCGTCCTCTTCCTTCGTCCCCCCTCTCGCCGCTGTTCCGCAGCAGTTCTCCTGCTTCTGTGCGGCCCAGTCGGGGCCGCCTGCGATCCGATTCGATGCGATTCGATTCGCGGACCGGGCACGCGATTCGACAGATCTGCTGACAGAGCTGCTGGCAGGGTGTGTGTGTGTGTATGTGTGTGTGTGTGTATGAGAGGGTTCGCCCTCCCTCCCCCCACCACCACCCCCAAAACGAGCAGGGGGAGAAGAGATGTCCCGACCCACCCCCGCTGGAAAATTATGGAGGGGGTGTCCAGATACCCCCCCCAAGGCGACCGCGACCGCGACTGCGACCGCGACAACGACGACAGCGATGCCCCCGATGACGGCGACTGCGGCGGCCGCGACGGGGGGGTCTTCGTTACCCCCCTTCCTCACACGCAGGTCGGGGGGTCCTGTTTTTTTTGGGGGGGGGTGTTCGGGGGCATGGGTGGGGGGGGGGGAGAGGGGTCCCCCAGTTTCTGAAGCCCCCCCGTTCGAATTTTGTGTTCACGTGGTGGTGGGGGGGGGTGTCCCATGGTTTCTGATGGTTTTGAGGCCAGCAACGGTGGATCGTGCCCCCTCCGCGATTCCGACCCGATTCGGTCTGAGTTCCGCCGAGGCTAAGCGGAGACGGGCGCGGCGATCCGACGTCGGTTCGGTTCGTTGGCAATGCGATCCTTCCCCGATGCGACGCGTCGTTGCGAGGCGAGCTGGCTCGGGCCTGCCAGTGGCCCGCGGAGCGAGACCGCATGCCGCACCGAGGTGCCCTCTCGGGCCGCGCCGTGGACCGGGGGGGGAGGGGTCCTCAGCTCGCCGCAAGGCGTGAGCCTCCAAATTCTGCAGCACCCCTGTGAAGAATAGTGCGCGCGACGGCCCCGCTTCGGGCGGGGGATCGCGCAGAGCCGCAGTCCAAAGTTCCCGCGCTCTCTCTCTCTCTCTCTCTTTCTGCGCAGTGCCCCGCTGGTGTCTGCGTGCTCTTCTCACCACTCTTCCGCTTCGTGGGCTCCCGAAGGTCAAGAACTGCGGAAACCACTGGACCGAGGAGGAGTGCTTGCAGGAGATCGGAGTCGAGGCTCGCGGGGCGTGCTGGGATTCGCCACGGGGGGGCCCAGGACGAAGGGGGCAGGCAGAGCACGAGAGGGGCAGTGCTGGGCCGGTGGCCAGGCAATCACAGAGCCACGGGGGTGGGACAGGTGAGAGGGGGCACCGAGCCATCAACGGTGCGGGCGTCCCCGTGCAGCCATGCCTGCGAAGCACGGCCTCCCCCTGCCTCGACCCCAGCGCCCTTCGCGGAGGAAGGGGCAGAGGAGGGCCGAGTCTCAAAGCCCAAGGGCTGGGGATAGGGTCAGGGGCAACGATAGGGGGGGACAGGCATAGGATTGAGTCGGGCCTGTCCCCCTACAGGACGAATATGCAAAAATCGTCAAACAACAATAATCTGGGGGCGATCTTTGGACCATGTTGGAGCATTTTTGGCGGTATTTTTGAGTATTTGTAATCTTTCGTCCAAGATCGGCCTGTAGGGAGACAGGCCCGACTTAAGCATAGGGGGGGTGCATCGACCCCCCAAATCGCCCATGGATCGACGATAAGGGGGCCCGAGAGTCCCAAAACCTGCCCATGAGCCTGCGGCTCCACCATCGGGGGCCTCTATCGCAGATCTACCGGCGATGTGTATCGCCGATTACGAGGACAGCACTGGCACGAGGGCAGCACTAGCACGAGGAGGGGGAGGGGCGCCGAGGAGGCGCGCCGAGGAGGAGCGGCGAGGCCAAGGAGGAGGAACGCCGAGGAGGAGCGCCGAGGAGGAGCGGCGGGAGAGGGCGGCGGTGGCGGCGGATGGGAGCGGCGGCGGGGCGGCACCTGCGATGGCGGCGGGCCCCTGCCCCGGGGCGGGCGGATTGGGGGCGGGGGGAGGAGCGGCGCCCGGCCCGCGGCGGCGGGCGCGGGCGCGGCGCGCGCGGCGCGCGCGGCCCGCCCTGGGGCCCTCCTCGGACCCGAGGGCCCTGGGGCACGGGACGAGGAGGAGCGGGAGGAGGAGGTGGAGGAGGAGGAGGAGGAGGAGGAAGAGGAGGAGGAGGAGGAGGAGGAGGAGGAGGAGGAGGAGGAAAAGGAGGAGGAGGAGGAGGAGGAGGAGGAGGAGGAGGAGGAGGAGGAGGAAAACGACCTCCGGGGGCGGTGCTGGCCCGTCCTGCCTCCTTTGCCGCAGGCCCAGCGGAGGAAGTACGAGTTCGAATGCGAGAAGCAGAGACTGGCGGGGCCGGGGCGGGCGCGCCCCCGATCAGGCGATCGCAGACATGGATCAATGGGGGCATGGATTAGCGACGGGTCCCGTTTCCATGGGAAATGGCGGATTTCCGCCGCCGAGCGAGGCGGCACCAGCCGCATTTTGGGGAGGGCACGTCCCCCGATCCATGGATTTGACGACCGCGTGCCAACTCCATAGATTGCTAATCTATGTTTGCGCGCCTCCGACCCCAGGGGCCACATGGGGGGGTCAGGGGCAATGTTAGGAGGCCGTTTTGTATTCTTCCCCTGGCGATCACGGGCGTGACAGGGCGGGGGGGAGGATCACCATCTACCAAACCACCCCAACCCAACCCGAAGGCCCAAATTTGCCTTCCAGTCCCAGTGGGGTGGGAGCGCCCAGGGAATACGGAACAAAAACACGTATGAAGCCCGACCCCCGCCCAAGCCGAAATTCGGGTCTTCTGGTTGGGTTGGGGTGGTCTGGTAGGTAGTCAGAGGGGGGGAGGGGGGTTGGGCACATCACCATCTGCGCCAGCGCCGTCCAGGAATGCCTGATAGTGGCTTGTTCAGAGGGGGCGCTGGCGCGAATCGTGACGTGACCAGGGGGCAGGGAGTGAGGGGTGGGCCGGGGCCAGTCACGGGCGTTATCGCGAATGTATTAAAATCGGGCTCTAGGGGGTATGCCCAGGGGGGAATGGAAAAACACCCCGTCGGCCATTAATCTCCGATATGAGCCTGATAGCCCATCCTCTCTGGGAGCGTTCGCAGTCGCTGTTCGGGGGCCTATCGCCGATCCGTCGGCGATGCGTCGCCGATTCCAGCTCAATGGTTCCCCCCTGAGCCGGTTTTGAACGTTTACCTGCAGAGCGAGAGGATGTGACAGACCCGGCTTCGGCAGGCCTTCGTAGCTCTCCGTTGAATTTCCTTGGTTGTTGGCCCAGGGTGCCCGTCAGCAGCTGTGCCTCGCCCAGAGCCTTCCTGGCTGCCGGAGGCCCGAGCTCAGCAGCGAAAGTCGCACCCACGTCGCATCGAAAGCGCAGTTCAGATGTTGTTCACCGTGTTCGGCCTCCTGGGGGCCTCGTTTGGCCCCGGGGACCACGAGTAGCTGCTCGGGTGGAAGAGTTGGCTCTGGTCGTTCTGGCCAGAGCCCTGATGGGAGTGAAGCCGTGGCCATGAGGGCGCCGCAAGATGCCCCAAATCGGCGGCGAGCGAGGGGCGGGAGTGAGAAGGAGAAGGCCTTCTCAGAAGGCGGCGGGACTTTTCAGAAGCCTTCGCGCCTTCTGAGAAGTTCTTTCTTGTCTTCGGGGAAGGCTCAGATAACTTCTCAAAAGGTCGGGGGACTTCCGAACCTTCTGAGAAGGCCTTCTCCTTCCCACTTCCCCCTCTCGCTCGCCGCCGACAAAAGGGTGCAAGCCGAACTCCATACAATCGAACGTTTCACTGGAATCTTGAATCGATCACGGTGTTCCTTGTGCATGCAGGACCTGGGTTGCCACTGAGGCCCAAACAACGGGGATGCGTTTCGCTCCTGAGGTGCCTCATGGCAGAACGTGGACTGTGCTTCCCGTCTCTTCCTCCAGCGTGTTTCCCCAATTGAGCGACGCAACAAACTTGGTCGTCTGCGCCAACATTGGCGCGCAAGCTGCCCGCGTAAGGTCGCGCGGGCCCGCGTAAGCTGCGGCGTAAGGTCGCTACGTGATCTCGCGTAAGACCCGCTTTTCCTGTTCGCCCAATTTGGCCTTCGGTGCCTCACGGCAAAACGTCCACTGTGCTTCCCGTCCCCTCCTCCGGTGTGTTTCGCCAATTTCCCTCTCCCGGCCGCCCCCTCTGCCTTCTTACCGCTCTTGCATGCTGGCCAATTCACTTTTCGGTGCCCCCGTTTCGCTTTTATCGCTGGTGCAGCCAACTCTGCCTCGCCGCCGACGAAAAAGTGTTTCCCCAATTCAGCTTCACCTAATGGGTTCTTTCCTACCTGTTCGTGAAAGAAGCAGGCGGGTGCGGGGCCCTCCCGAGCCGGCGTTTCCAGGCGTTGCCCAGGGTTCCTAGGGTCGCGTGGGGCGCCAGTGCAACCCGACGCAGTGCCAAGCAGCCCCAGGCAGTGTCAGGTACAATGCGAAGCAGTGCCACGACTCACTGAGCAAAGCAACGTAGTGCAATATCCGGTCCAGCAGCACCACGTAAGACAACGCAGCGCTAAGCAGTGTCAAGCAGTGCTAGCGATGCCAAGCAATATCAAACGACATCAAGCAATACCAACCAACGCCAAGCAGTGCCTGGGGATGTCAACCTTGGGGAAGCAATGCCTCGCCATTCGCTGCGTTGCACTGATTTGCAATGCTCACCCAGTTTTGAGTTGCTTTGGGGAAAAAGGAGACCCCTAACTTTTGTCGCGCCAGTTTCATTTCCATAACGGCGCCCTGGAAGTCCCGACCCCTTAACGTCGGGCCATTTGTCATCCAGGCGTTTTTCCCGATGAAACTTGGCAATTGCCCCCGGAGGCCGAACTCCTGGCTCATAGATCTCCGCCGTGCTCCGTTGATCCGCAGGATGCATGGGTCCTCCCGAGCGCACGTCAGAACGAAACACTTGGTACCGTGCCTGCCGGGCGGTTTTCTTGTGCGTTTCGCGCGTGTTCGTTCTCGCTGACCTGTTTCTTTCGGCGGGGAATAAACTCGCCCCTCCTCCTCCTCCTCCTTCTCCTCCTCCTCCTCTTCCTTGTTCTTCCGCCCTCCCCCTCCTCCTGCTCCTCTTCCTCATCCTCCTCCTGCTCCTCCTCGTCTCACTTCTATCGAGGAGGAGGACGAGCACCTGCGACGTCGGCACCCGCGTCACAGGCCACTGGTGAGTTTCCCATTATAAATTGTCGTGCTGGATAATTTTTGGGTTTTATGATTTTGAGCATTATGTAAGAGGATTGCAATCTAGATCGACACATTCGTCGCCGAAATCGTTGCGCACAATATCCTCCTTGATCTCGTCGTAGTTGCAGTACGCTTGCAATCTATGCCAACACATGCAAAAGCTACATCTACATCTTCGTCGTCGGCGCCCGCTTCGCGGGCCACCGACCAGTTTCCCACTAACGTTCGCCGCGCTGGATAGTGTTTGGGGCTTATTTCTCCTTGCGAATATGCCCCCTCGGCTTCTGTTCACGATGGAGGAATCTTCGGCACGTTTGCAGCACTGTAGATCGAGACATTCTTCGCCGAAGGCGTTGCTCGAAATATCCTCTTTCATCTTGTCGTGTTTGCAAGACGATTGCACTATACGCTGATAATGTACAACCTACAACAGTCGTAGTCATAGTTGTACTCGTAGTGGTAATCGTAGCCGTAGTCGTAATAGTGGTCGTGGTCGTTCACTACTCTCAGCCGTAGTCGTAGTCCTCGTCGTCGTCGTTGTCGTCGTCGTCGTCGTTGTTGTGCGGCGGGAGCCGCGGATGAATATCTATGTCCCACTACTGGCGGGACCCCACTCCGTCAACACGGTCTAACACGTTTCCCATTATTGGGGGTTCTAAAGACCCATCGTGGTTACTTCGTCCTGCCGAGGGTGCTTTTCCCAAGGGCAACGGTCGGGGGATTTGCTCAAGGGGGGACGCATCGACCCGCAACCGCCCACACGTCGCCTATGGGGGCCCCGATAGCCGCACCCCGCCCGGGAGCGCGCGGATTCGCTATCGGGCTCTTATCGCCGAGGCATCGGCGATGTATCGGCGATGTACCGGCGACTCCGTGTCGGGGTTCCCTCCCCCCCTTTGAGCCCCCCCGAGAGGGAGAGGCCCTGGGAAGATTCAGACGCCAGCGCGGGGCAACTGCCCTGGTTGGCAGCGCCCGCTGGTGAGCCGGGTCCTGAGGGGAGCTGGCGCCTTCCTGGCCGTGCGGGCCCCTGGAGTGTGGCACCGCTCAGCACAGGTTCACCAATCCCCATCCCCACTGGTCCATGGTATCTCAGCCCCACCAGCCCAGCCGCTGGTGTGGATAGCCCCGAGAAGCCCGGAGGAACCCGCATATATCCTCACCTGGGGTAGCACGTCGGCCAGAGGGGCCAGGGCCAGGCCAGGGGGGATAGGGATCGGTGAAACGATGCTCAACCGCACGTGCAACTCCAGCCTGCGACGATGCCCCAGAGATCTGACGTGTTGCTGGTCGATGTGGGGCCTCGGGCTTCGGCGAGGGCCTCCACTGGCCGAGCAAACACGGGAAGAAACTTCTGTACCTCAAGAACTCTTTTGGTGAGGCGCAGCTGCGGGCAAGCACCCCAAGGATGGAGAACCCCCCGCGACCAACAAATTCGTGCGAAAGCCAGGGAGAATGAGGAGGGCGAGGAGGACCCTGAGATCTGACGTACCCTGCAAAATCGTAGATGATCACGCCTGGAGCCCTAGACCCAAACTTTTTCTGCTGCACTTCTCAAGCTGGATCGAGCCGCCAGGGTCCCCAGTCCTGAACCTGGGGAACTGCCTGGCTTGAAAAACATGTGACGCTGGGATCTCAGCGGAGCAAGTACTCACAAGCTGCGGCGATGCCTGCAATGCAGGCGCGGCTGGTCCGACGAAAGCAGTAAACGACAGGATTGCGGAGGGCCGCACTTCAGGCATGCACGAAACCACATCCCCGAGCAGAAGACTGATCACCAGGCAGCTGTGACGATCACACGATGCTTGACTCCAATGTGCGGCATGCCCAGCGCGAAACAACATGTGCCGTTGTCACAGAACGGCGGGACAGAGGTTCGCGCGGATTTCGTGGGTCGGCGCTGGACCCCCCTCCCTGGCGCGTGGAGCGCGCCATGGGCGGCGCCGATGGCACCGCCAGGGGGGTCCAGCTCCGATTCTAGAAATCCGCGCGGAACTCCGAAAGCTTATGCTTATGCAGTTTTTGTTTCTTTACGGAGGAGGAGGAGGTGGGATTCTGCTAGGATTCTGCTACTTAGGACTTACGCAGATGGAGAGCACCACGCAAGCCGCCTCATGCCTTGCAAGCCGTACTTACATAGGCGTTCCTGGTGAATGGCCGCACTCCCATAACGAATCAGTCTACCCTTGGCCGTTCTCGTTCGGGATGGTGGATACCTCCTTCACAATACCGTCCACTTACACTGACCGTCAGAAAAGCTTGGCCTAGAACGCGGCTGACACGCCTGACAGTCCTTGCTGCCACTGCCTGTCTTCCCCTTCTCGCACGAGTTGATGCCAGCGTTGTAGCTAAGATATTGGGCTCCAGCTATGCCCCCCCACTTCTCGCACGAAACTTGCCCAGAGCTCTCGACTAAATTTGGCCCCGGCTTCCCCCCCCGCTTCCCCCAAGAGGCTTCTCACAGAGCTTCCGCCGATACTGGGCTCTAACTTCGCCCCCCACTTCTCGCAAGAGGTTGGCCCTGAGCTCTCGACACTAGTGGGCTCCAGCTTCGCCCCCCGCTTCTCGCAAGAGGCTTGCCACGAAGTGCCCGACAATATTGGGCTCCAGCTTCGCCCCCCGCTTCTTGATCCCAGCGCTGTAACTGAAGATGTCCGCTCCTGCACTTGACATTTTCTCGCAATGCCAGATCTTGCTGCCACTGCATGCCCTTCTCGCATTGCCAGCTCCTGCTGCCACTGCTTGCCTTCGCACCCGAGCTGATCCCAGCTTGGTAGCTGATGACGTTACTCGTGCACTGCTCCCCTTCCTTACATGTCTTCACCTTGCCCTGATCCCAACGCTGTGGCTGATGGCATCGGGCTCGTCCTTGAACGGCCTCCCTCCTCACCGCCGGCTTCCAACGTCGCGTCGGATGTAGCTGACGGCATCGGGCTCGTCCTTCACCTGGACAGTGCCAGCGCCTGCTGCCACTGCCTGCCTTCTTGCTCGCACGGGCTGCTCCCAGCGTTGTTGCTGATCGTGGCCCACCCGCACTTTTCTCGCAGCGCCAGCGTCGGCTGCCACTGCTTGCCCCCTTTCTCCCACGGGCTGCTCCCAGCGGTCCTGCTGGTCTTGGCCCACCCGCAGTTTCTTCGCAGCGCCAGCGCCAACTGCCACTGCTTGCCTTCTCGCACGGCCTGATCCCTACACTGTAGCTGATCAAGCCCATGCTTTGCCTGCACTTCCGCCGCGGCGCACGGATTGCCGGCGCTGCAGCTCGCCAGACTGACGAGGGGAAGGGGATGGAGGGGCAAGAGGACGACGAGGGAAAGGAAGGGAGGGCGGAGGGAGCCCCGTCTCCTGGCGGGTGCGCACGCGCCTGATCTCAGCATTGTGGCTGATAGGAGGAGGGAGGAGGAGGAGGAGGAGGAGGAGGAGGAGGAGGAGGAGGAGGAGGAGGAGGAGGAGGAGGAGACTACGTCTGGGTGGGATAGGCCCCGGGGGGGATGCGCCGATGGAGCCCCGACAGCCCGCCCCGTTCGGGAGCGTTGGGATTCGCTGTCGCAGGCCCATCGCCGATTCCAGGTCGATGTTTCTCCCCCCTGGGCTGGCCTCCCCCCCCCCTGCAGTCAAATGTCCACAGTAAGGATGCGCTGCTTCATCAGGGCTACCCTCGCATCCCTGCTTCTTCGGCCCATCCTGAGCGACTGTTGACGTCCAAGGACTCCCGAGGACCTCGCATCCTTTCATTGGCTTTTGAGTGTACCGTGACCCCTCAGAGACGAGGCAACCCGGGGAGGTGAATGGGCCCTTCCTGCCCTTGGCGGAGTGCGACATCGACCCGGACGACTCGCGCTTCGTGGACTCCTGCGCCAGGCCGTTCCCCCCCCGTGCCGTGCCCCGAATATCGCGCGGGCCGTGGTGTGCGCGCGCGCCGGGCTGGGGCCCTTTAGCTTCCTGGTGGGGGGGATAGGATTCTGTGCGTGGAGGTAGCGATTCTTTCGACCCAGGTAAGTTAGCTTGTATAGTTGTGGAAGACAGCAATGGAGAGCAGGCATGTTGTCAAATTCTTCCCAGATGTCGGAAGGTGGACAAGATGCTTTAAACCTGTAAAATCATCTTTACAACGTGTTCAAAACACTCCTAGGCATGCCCCCCACCATAATTCCATCATAGGACTGTCATATTGTCCATTGTCATGGCATTCGCACTTGTATGACATTCCCCCCCTCCGCCGCCTTGTCAGACAGCGCTGGGCCGAAAAGTCGTGTTGGTGTGTCCCGAAGGTGCCCCCCTCCATGCAAGCAACATTACCATACAGTGGAGACCCATGCCAAGACACTCTGCTCGCCTCCAGGGTGCCCTGGGTTTCTTGGATTTCGATGGTTTTGCGATGGAAAGCGTGACATTCCCACACCAAACACCAATGGACGTCCTGGGGTCTCAGGGTTAGGCTTCTTGTGGAAGGTTTCTTGTGGCCTGGCCTCCATTGTAATCTAGAGCAAGATGGAAACTGGCTCGCGCGCGCGCGCCAGTTTCCTCGTGGCGCGCCCCGGCCCGGCGGATCTGGGGGGGGGAGGAAGGACCCGTTGCTTGTGCGATTGCAGCTAGATGGTTCTGGGTTGCTCCCTGATGGCTGTTCGCAAGGTTTTTTTTACTAGAGGTACAGCGGGACCACAGAAGATAGAACGCCCGGTCCGGCAGCTGTTTCGCCCTAGACATGCTCACACCTTCAAGAATCGTGTTCTCGCTCAGTGCCGGCTGCATTTTTGGTCTCGACGGCCGCGATCCTTCGTCCGTGCCCTCCCCCTGGCACTAGCAGACCTCCTACTCTTCGACCCGCCTCGACACCGTTGTTGCTACTAGGGCGCTTTGCCTGGGTGATTTGTTTTTGGACATCATGATGGGCCTGTTTTCCACCACCACCACCACAAGTTGGAGGAGGGAAGGAGAGGAGGAGGAGGAGGAGGACGAGGAGGAGGAGGACGAACAAGAGGAGGAAGAGGAGGAGGAGGAGAAGGAGGACCCCCTCCCCCTCCAACTTATTGGTGGTGTTGGTGGAAGACAGGCCCATCACATCATGTGTTGTTGGCCTGCCTTGATATTTCCTGTCAGACGCCCGTTGCATACGTGTAGTCATCCTGCGGCAGGGGGGCGCGGACGGCCCCGAGAGCGCCCGAGCAGGGCCAGCCCTTGGGACAGCCGTGGCATCGCGCGGCCGTCGGCGTCTTCGTCGTCGTCGTCGACGGCAGTGGCGGCTCTCCCGTGCGGCCCACGTCCGCTCCAATCGGTGACCTTTCCTGAGGTCCATCCCGACTTGGCTTTCGAGGCGGACTCAGGAGGAGGAGGAGGAGGAGGAGGAGGAGGAGGAGGAGGAGGAGGAGGAGCTCTCACGGGTCTTCCACATGCCTTTTTGTGGGTTGAGTCAGGGTGCATGGTACGAATGGAAGGAGTGGGGAGGTCCTCGAATATCATCTCTGCAAGCCGCCTGTCTCGCTGCCTGCTCCAGAGCCGCCATCAGCACGTTTGAATGGAGAGGGCCACTCAATATGTTGCACAATGCTGCAGTACGGCACCGCCCATCTGTGTCGGTTCTTCGCGGAGCCCTGCGCCAGCACATGTCTGACGCGTTCGAGTGCGCACATCTTCCAGTGAAGATTCGTGAACTCTGTCGTCCTGCTCTCCACGAGGCCCGTGCGGTACACCTACAACACACCGCGAGCCCCCTGAGGCCCAGCGCCCGAAAATTCAGCGTCTCCTGGTTCACAGTATCTCGGAGGCTTTGTATCCCGCTTCTTTTGGGAACCTGCTTTCCGCTCGTCTCTGTGGGCTGCTCCCGTCTGACAGGGCTCGCATCCTTACCGTGGACTGGCTTGCCGTCCGTGCTACCCTTGCCTCCCTGTCGCGCTCTCGTTTGCCGTGGCTAGGACTCTCTCGCAAAAATAACGCAGCGTAGGTTGCAACATAATGACAATTCGTATTGTACATGTGGATGTCCTCCCGAGGACACTTCTTGATATTCGTTTGCTCATTATTCGAGCTGCCCGTTGTTTTTCTCGCTTTTGGAGTCGTCAGTGGGCCCTCTGGATCCTCGGCCCCTCGAGCGTTTCGAAATTGTGTCACCCGCGGAATCTTCTCTGAAAGTTCCTGCCTGTGCGCATTTCTTGCATCACGAGTTAAGAATGAAATCGCGTAGACCCAGTCGAATTCCCTGCAGGAGTCCCAAGGTGTGCTCCCTGCCGTGAGGGCGCAGCTCAGGCGATGAGGGACGAACTCGCTGCGCAGCCCACGCCGCTTCAGGAGGAGGAGGAGGAGGAGGAGGAGGTGGAGGAGGAGGAGGAGGAGGAGGGGGAGAAGGAGGAGGAGGAGGAGGAGGAGGGGGTACAGGACGACGAAAAGCCCCCCAGGCGCCCCAGAGCAAGGCACGCCATGTTTGGCCGCCGTCCCAGGCATCGAGCATTTTTTTTCACCGCGCGCGGCCCCAGAGGTCCCGACCCTTCCTCCGGGAGGGCAGTTTTTCCAGGCGTCCTGACTGGGGGTTGGAGTACGTCGATTTGGTCACAGGATAGCTCCGCATCGGCGATGCATCCACGATGCGGCTCAATGCGGAGCCAGAGTGTTTTCGAGCCGATGGCGCCGCCGCATCGCGAACGCACCGCCGCTGCATCGGCGATGCATTGGCGATGTGGCGCGATCCTCCGGCCCCATCTTCTCGGACCCCATCTAGGAGGCCTTCAGTTTCGCGTCCCGGCCAGGACTGAAGAAGTCGTATCGTCGGGGATATGGGGCTGTCTCGACCAGCTCTCCTGCGGGACTGGCCCTCCTCCGAGGTCGGGCCCCTGACGCCTTCTTGGATTTGACAACGTGGGCCCCCAGAGGCCTGGACCTTTCCTCGCGGGCGAGAGCGAATCTGTGTCCGCGGCCTCGCGAGCTGGGGCCCCCTGGGCCGCGACCCTGCGGATGTGGGCAGTTTTTGTCGCGGACTTTCGTGTAGAACGGATGTGTGCGGCCGCGTACATCTGCGGGTGCGCGCCCCGGAGTCCAGACCGCGAGGGCGCGGATACGGATATATACACCGCTTGTGACCTTCCTTGGGGTCGGCTTGTCATCCAGAGCTGTTTCTTGACGGTCCTGGGCCTGCTCAGGGTTACAGGAGGCCGCAAAGGCTGTAAAATTACCTGTCGTGCTTTCTCCGCGGCGCGAGTGTTTTTTCACGAGTCCGAGTCCCCGCCGCCGCCTTCGCCGTCGCCGTCGCCGTCGCCGTTGCCGTCGACGTCGCCGTCGCCGTCGCCGTCGCCGTCGTCGTCGTCGTCGTCGTCGTCGTCGTCGTCGTCGTCGTCGCCGTCGCCGTCGCCGTCGCCGTCGCCGTCGCCGTCGTCGTCGCCGCCGCCGTCGTCGTCGTCGTCGTCGTCGTCGTCATCGTCATCGTCGTCCTTGGCGCCTGCGGTCCGCCCCGCCCGCAGGCTCCAGGCCCTGGGGCGCTGATCGGGCCTGCGCGCGCGCGCCTGCGCTCGCGTCGCATGGGCGCCGCCCGCTCGCCTCGCGGGGAGTCAGAGCAGGAGCCGGTGCCTTGTTTCCCCTGTTTTGGGGGCCTCCTGGGAGGCTCTCGTCGCCACCGCTGGTTCCGCCTCGACATTCTGGTCAGAACGCACCCCTGGAGAGGTCCTGGGAGTAGCGGTCTGCTCCGCGCATCAGGGAGTGGGCCCTGGCGCTGATCCAAGAACTCCGCGTGGACCTCCGAAAGACTACGTATGCAGTTTTTCTCGTTCTAGGATCGGCGGCGAGCACGGGGGGGAAGTGACAGGCGGCAGGCCTTCTCAGCAGGCTCCGAAGTCCCCTGGCCTTCTGAGAAGTTTTCCAAACCTCTCAGAAAGCGCGAGGGTTTCTGAGAAGTCCCGCCGCTCTCTGAGAAGGCCTTCTCCTTCTCACTTCACTCCCTCGCTCGCCGCCGCCAGAGCGATCGAACGATCGATGCTCCACGATCAAGCGCACCCCAGGAGAGGTCCGTGGAGCAGCCTCAGCGGTGCATCCCTGTGGTCTCCCCGCGGCGCGGGGGGCGCCTTTGGCCCTCCGTGCGCACCGCGCCGCGCTGCGCCGCACCTGCCGCCCACCCGGGGTGCGTCCTCGAGGTGGCTGTGGTCGCCTGCTGTCCCCGCCAGGGAGGGGGGAAGGCCTCCCTGCCCCTGCTTCTCAGCAGGCGCGTGCCCTGTCCGTAGATGTAGGGGCTGGCGCCTCCTAAGAAGCAGCCTCCTTCTAAGGAGACTTCCCCCCTCCTCCTGCTCCCTTGTGCGCGCTGCCAGCAGAGACCGAGGGAGTCCCCAAGATCGGCATTGAGATACGGTGATGCCCATCACAGGGAGTTGGATCTGCCTGAGGTTGGCAATGGGCATCATGCCTCGAAGGCCCGCGCTGATCGCTACATGGCACCGGTGCTGGGCCCCCCTGGCGGCGCCTGTGGCGCTGCCCCAGGCCCGCTCCGCGCGCCAGGGGGTGGTCCAGCGCCGATCCAGGACATCTGCGCGGACCTCCGAAAGCTTATGCTTACGCAGTTCTTTTCCCTCCAAGGAGGAGGAGGAGGAGGACCAGTGCAAACCCAAGAGTCGTCAACGATGTTGGAGTAAATCCTCCTCCCAAGCTCCCAACGATTCATTTGCATTGATGGAACTGCCTCGTTGGAAGACACTCGTTTGAAGACCCTGAAGCAGGCCAAAACATCAAAACATTGTTCTCGGGATTCCAACGCGACGGATCAACCTGACTGTTGCATTTTGACGATCCTGAATCGTGCCAGAACGCCATTCCTAGGCTTTAACATAGGGAATCAACTTAACTGTTGCACCCGCAAAATCCTGAATCCTTCCAAAACGCCAT